CAATCATATTTAAAAATTCATCAAATGGATGGTTAAAATAGCATTTTAAATGGAGATTCTAGATGAGAGATTTACATGGACCAACCCAAGGCTTTGGGAGCCTGGCAATGAAGGCAGGTGTGTAAGCTAATTGAAATCCCTTTTATGGTTTAAAATAAGCTCCTAAACAATGGTCATTGAAAATTTGATTCCTAAATTGCTGAGACTACTATCAGAACTAATTGAATTGTGATAAGTGCACTTTATATAAAAACTTGTTGAGAATGTACAAGGATTATTAGCCTATACGTCGTGATGATCTACTTATCTTTGGCTTTAATTTTTACATATTATAAATTAGACTAAAAATATTTCTTAATAGTCACTTTGATATAAAAGATCTTGGTGAAGCCCAATTTTATTTTGGGAATTAAATTACTAAAGACTAATGATGCCGTTTTTTTCTTGATCAATTGCATTATGTTGAGAAAAATTTAAAGAAATATAACTTTTAACTGTAAAATGTTGTTACTCCTTTGTTGCAAGCATACATTTATCTTTTGTAAACAAATGAAAAAAAGGATAGTGATTAATCAAATGAAATATGCTAGCATTGATTGGTAAGTTTGAGATACGTTACTGACTATGTACTAGACCTTGACATTTCATTATGCTATTGGATACTTAGCAGGCTTTACTAGCAAGCCAAGTCAAGATCATTAGCTAGCCATGGAAAAAATTATGAGATATTTATTTGGTACACAAAAATTATATGGTTTGTTTATACCAAGTATCCTGCGGTACTTGAGGGATATAGCTTATACCAGATGTAGAACACTTGTCAGGTGATTCTTCTCTCTAACCTTAGGTTTTATTTTACTTGGTGGTGGTGCTATATGTGGAAGTTTAAAAACAGTATATAATTGCTAATTCTACAATGGAAGCTAGAGCTTTTGGAAGTGAGCTTTAGCGTTTGCATTGAGGGAGCGAATGGTTAAGAATTGTTACATTGAATCCCTTTTTGGGAAAAAACCAATTCCTCACGTGTTAATTCGTTGTGATAGCTATTACTGCTATTTGGGTAGATTGAACAAAACCATTCTTGAAAGGTGTAAATCCAGACTATTCAAGGAAACACAGTAATGTGAGATCCTATTTGAGTAATGGCATCATAACTGTGAATTTATGTAAAACTTGTGATAAGCTTGTGGATCCGTTAAACCAAGGCCTTGGCGAGAGATAGGTCTGGAATACATCGAAGGGGATGGGTTTGAAGCCTATAAAATTCATAAACCATGTATGAGGAGACCCAATGGGACGAAGATCTGTGACTAGGTTCAATGCGAAATAATGAATCATATGGTTGGTTGTAAAAAATGCACTCCTTATATTTTGTTATTCATTCCTCTATGATGTAAGTGCATTTGTTCTGTAATGTTGGAGGGTTGAGTTTTTATACTCTTAATGAAATTCTATAGCTCTTGTTGAGTGGGGTGTGTAAATTACAGGAACATCCTTGACAGATATTACCTATGTGAGCATGAAAGCGGGGCCGCTTTCTATGAGAACAAGGCATATTCTCAAATATGCTCATGAAAACTGGGATAGACACAAGGCCGTAATGTGCTGGCTATTAAAAGCTCATGTCAACACCTGGATTATTATATGTGAGCAGTAATACTTTATTTCCCCTAAGTAGCCATAGTTCAAGTCTAAGACTACTACCGACTCTGGAGTAGAGGTTGTTGTTTCACAAATGAAGGTTCAATGCAAAGCACATCTTCATGATGCATACTAGTCTATCTTTGTTTGGTAATCTCTCTTGTCCTTGTTGATATTAAAATGAGTGGGGGATTGTTGGACCATTTTAATATCTGTTATTTATTTTTATTTTTTTTAATGAATCTTCTTTTGTCTTGTTCATAAATCTCATTTTGTTTGACGAATGAAGATTCATTGTTTTTGGTGACCTTTTGTCTTGTTCATGAATGGAGATTAATTGGAAGTTCATGAACTTGGCGGTGAGTTAATATTTGGAGACTCTCCCTTGTCTCTAGTTTAATGGTCATTATTATTTTTTGGTATAAATTGTAAGGTCCTAGTGGCCTATAAATAGTTCATCTCATTTACTCTTTTTTACACCAACTATTATTTATACTTGAGAGATTACTAGCAAAGAAGGATGTTTTTCTTGATGGAGCTTTGAGTTCACCATCTTGTGCAGAGTTGGGCTGAACCATACGACAAGTGGTCGGGCTGTTGTATCCTGGAGGGGACAAGTCATAATTTCGTAACTGCTGCATCGGTATTTGGGTTCTTCCTACCGCAGTGGGCTTGATCTCCTTAAAAAAAATGAGATATCCGTGCCTCAGCTTGATTTATTTGTATCTCATTTTCTTTTCATTATTTATCAATAAAATATAATTTTTCTGGTATTTTCACCAATACAGTATAACAAGGAACACATTAAAACATCAAATTGTTTCCCTTTTTCCTAAAATTTAGAGGCAAATGGAAACTAAAATCCCAAAAGTTCTCTCAAACTATAAACCATGGGTAAACTTGTGGCCTGTCTAATGAATTCTTTAAAAACAAATAAGGTTCATTTCAATAGTGAACCTTAGGAATGATAACATTAAAAGAAAGTGCAAGAAAGCCACAAAATAAAATTTATTACACATTAGAGAAAGTTTGTAAAAGCACTTATGCTTGCCATTAACTCCTTCGGTACTTACACATGCATCCTTTTTCCAATTTTTGGTCAAAGGCTTGATTGTAACTAGGGCAAAATTTCATTTTATTTCCTTGTGGTTTAGTTTAGAAGCCCATTGAGTTTCAAAAATAACCAATTACCCAACATGTGGTTTTGGCCATTTTGTATTTTACATATTTGTGTTTAATAATTCCGTTCAAATTGATGGAATTTGTGCCGCATGAACCTAAGATAAGAGTTGACATGGAACGAAAACTCTGTCAAGAGTCAAAATACAATATAAAAGGACAAATATTCTCTTACCCTTCATATTCTTCTCCAAAGGCCATAACCCTAACCTTCTTCTTCCAAAAAAATTAACCCTAAAAGGAACCCAGCCAACCCCCCACCTACAACTGTGTTACCTCTCCATCGCCATCAGCCACACTAACTAGCCAAGCAACTATTCTTGGTAATTTATAGGCCTTGCTTAGGCTAAGCCCATAAGAACACCCCCAACCAAACCTTCAAATTTAGGGAAGTCATATTCATTCGAAGTCTATGTGGCAATTTGGCATCTCTAAAAATAAAAACTCCACTCGATGTGCCAAATTTATTATTTTTTAAAATTTGGCTTCTTTCTCATGTCCTTTCCTCAATTTGAAAATAAAAGTTATTACTTTATTGTGGCACCTACCTCATAGAATAATAAATAAATAAAAAATTAAAGATATGTTTCCTTTGGGCATGTCATATTTGACATATTACACCAAATACCACATGAGATTATGGCATTTTAGCTGGAATGCAAAAAGATGGTTATTTTTATCATTTGAAGTGCCAAACGGGAATCGACATACTAGAGTATGAAATAGAGATAAGGTAACCCCAACTAGGTATAAGTACTTAGATACCCACGTAAGGAAATAGTTAAACAAACTAATTTCTATTCCATTCATGTTTCTAAGGAAAGTTAAACCTCTTATCTAAAGACTACAGAAATTATAACAGTAGCACTTTTGAGAAGCCAAAATTTCTCTATGAAATCAATTATGGACTCATATCATCGACAGTAACAGAAAAGTGTCAACCCATTTCATGACTATTTTCTCATCACTGAATGCCAAAGAAGTCTTTCTATTTTTAATCTATTTGGATATCTCCCCAATATTTCCACCACATCACCCAAATTGAAACCACCTTCCGAAGAACCAAGGCAATTCAGTTGTACAAAATTACCTAATAATCATTCTTAATTTCCCATTGCTTTGTTGAAAAACTCACTCTGAATTATTATTAACTCAAGACAACAATAGCCAATACACTAGATAAATACGATAAGAAAGTTGGAATATTGAATAGGGTGCCTTGTGTCCAGGCAAGTTTTTGTAGGAATTGACAAAAATGACAAACCAAAATGCCATCATGCAGTAAGTCAAGCATCTTGACTGTGGTATTTTTGTCATTTTACTAAAAACTTACCCTCAACAAAAGCCAAGTTATCGGGAGCTTCTATTTCCACACAACATTCGGCCTCATTTCACACACTCAGTCCTTTTTTTAATTACAATTTTGACCTACAATAAAACTACTATAATACCCTTATCTTCTCTATCCTAAAACCTAATCTTCTCCATCCCCTCCCATCGCAGCCTTCTCTCCCATGTTGTCTCTTCCCCTTTCACCATCTCTTATCATATGTTACCCTCTCCCCAGCCCCCTATCATTCTTCTTCATTCTTTTCTTCCTCAATTTAGGGTTTAAAGATGCAACAAGAATGGAGTGTTTTTCTAAGATGCAGGTTTGAAGGTGCTATGAGGGTGGGGAAGGGGGCTGGGTCATGGTAGTGAAGGCTGGGGTGGCAGACATGAGGGGATGGTGGCTAAGGAACGGGTGACAACGGGAGGGAATGAGACTAGTGAGGGGACTATGATGTGTTTAGAGTTAAGGTTTGGAGGTGGTGGTTAGGGTTAGGGTTAGGGTTAGGATTTGAAGGTTGAAAAAGATGTGCACTAAGAATTTTTGATACGTGGAAATAGAAGCTCCCCAAATTGCCCCCACCCCACTAAATATGCACAATTGCAAGATATAAACCCTATTGGTCAACAACTTAGTACTCTTTATAGCCATTATTAAAAATTTATTCTCAAACAAGTTAAACTCTAAACTAAAAAGCAAGGAACATAATATAAAATAAAAAAACGAGCTCAGAAATCCTACTTACCACAATCCGTATCAAGAAATTTAGAAGAATCCTAAATATGCCAATTTCATATACAACAAACTGTGAATCATAATGTATATCAGAAAGAAAGAGTATGAGAGAAACCTGATACTTGAAGGTAACAAAAGACAAGATAATTGAGTTCGATGGACGAGATGGGGGTCATATTGTCGTAGAATCACCAAAAGCTGCAATGAAATTCTAGAGGATCATGCTATTGAGCTCAGAGGTTGAGACGAGATAATGAGAAAGAGAAGGATTACAGGGGACTTCGGATTCCTTGGCTAAATTGCAGCCACAGCCCTGGATTTTTAAAATCACATCATTTTATAATTTTATTTTATTTTATTTTTTTGTCAAGGGAAAAAAGAAAATTTGGGGATGAAAAATTACATTCACCATGATAAGATGGTTACATGATTTTATTCAATCGTTAAAAATAAATATTTGTTCTTTATGTTCTAAACTAATCAAATTTAAGGGCTGTTTAGGAAGTAAAATTTTAGCCTAATTTAGGCTAAAATCCACAAAAAGACAAAACAGGCTAAAATAGCTAATAAGATAAAATGTCACATCAAACCTATAATCATTTCATTTTTTCTTTTACAAACATCACATCTAACTACAAAAAAAATATAATTATCTTCCCAAATGCAAAAATTTTAGCCTACTAAAATAGCCTACTAAAATAACAACTTCTCAAACACCCACTAAATATGCAATAAGGTTTGTGGACAATGTTGTGCTCCAAAAGAATTTCTTTAACGGAGCATCTCTAGCAACCTCTTCATTTCACCAAAAACTCTACAATAGCAAGCTAAAGGCTTAAATTTCTTCTCTAGCAACCTAGCTAATGTGAAGCTAAACTAACATTTTGTTACAGTACTTTGCTAGGAAAGACAAGGTACTGTGCACTAGCTTTTAATTTTTTTTTATCCTTTTTTAATTCAAACTTTTGTTTCTAAGAATATCTTAATAGAAGATATCTAAAGTATAAGAATATTTTAATAAAAGATACCTAAAGTAGATAGCCTTAGTGGAGTGTATATTAAAAAAATGACTAGCTAAAATAGTAAAGTGAAATTTTGAATAGCTATTTTGACTATCCTTGCTAGAGATGCTCTTATTATAGGCTCGCCATATATACAAAATATTTGACTTTATTTGGAATACACAAGGATCACATTTTTATTCAGAAAAGTTCAGACATCCAAAGAATTCAAAATAGAGGTAGAAGGCTGTGTGGTCACGATTGTCAGATGGTATGCTGACTTGACAAAGAAAATCCGCACTCGGTGTAATGCCAGATTATTTTATCAGCTAGAAGTCTTGGACAAAAGGAAATTTGGCTAATAATTTTCGCTTCGAAAATAACAAAAAGTTGGTTGAGTACCTCTGTGTTTCATCCGCCAATTGCTTAGTCTTTGAAAATAACAAAAAAATTGATTGAGTACCTCTGTGTTCCATCTGCCAATTACTTAGTCAATGAGGGAATCGACAGTTACATCTGCCATGTTATGCACTACAAGACTTGTCACCCAAAAAGAAGATGAGTTGAGAATCCATTTTATCACACCAAATATAAATATATTTCCCACATCTCACTTTCTATCTGATTTCTCGCTGCAAAAGATCTCGACTTTCCCAAATCATACGCCACGTAAAAAAATGGATTTGATTCCAAAAGAGCTTGAAAGAAATAACAGTATGGGAATTTCTACTCATTTTTTTAGTAACAGCAAAGAGAGCTACTGCATTTTAGCAAATTTTTTATTATCTTTAATGTGTTTTCTCATGTGTCACGTCATATAGTTTGTCTCATTAGCTTTTAAGTAGGTGTTTAGCATAGCTTAAAAAGGACAAAAAGTCAAAAAGTCACTGAAAAAGCAAAAAAGTTAACACTATTCACGTTTTTGGGAGGGAAAAAAAAGGAATCTAAGATAGAGGAGAAAAAGACATAAAGGTCCTTCATTTTGTCCCTTTCTTTGAGAAAACAGAAATTGACAGCTAGGGATTTGGAAGAATGCACCTCAAAATTATTCGGCTTCTCCCTTCAATAGTTCCTCTCCATCTTCACACACACGCGTGAACATTTCTCCTTTAAGGCGTCGACAGTCTCACGGTCACACTGTCAACTACCAGAGCTCCATTACAACCTCTCCTTACAGCATCACGTAAGCCATCCTACCATGCGAGCGCATCAAACCAGTAGCGGACGGGAAGGAGCTACCGGTATCCAAATATACACCACCGCTGACCAGATCTTCACCATTTCAACCTGTACCCCCCACAGTAGAAGGTGACATGTCTTACACTCCAATAATTTTGCCAACGTCTACAAAATCGTATGTTTCCCCAATTTGCAGAAATTGTTTACCTTTGTTTTCGGTTCCACACTTTGGATATTGCCATTGGCAGGTGTAACAAAATTGTTTGCATTGTTATGGCTTGTACATTTTTTTTTCATTTCTTACTGTCTCTGTTTTGTTGTGTCCCCGCTTACCCCCTGCTTTGTTGGTTTGATTGATGATTTTTACAACTATGTAAATTGTGTAGGTTTATAAGTTCACATGAGTTTGAAAACACGAAGAACAAGTCATAGTTTATTTTGCAGTTGAGGATTTTGTGAGGGAATTGGATTCTGTTTACATACCACAGAAAATTTGAGAAGTTTGTTTTAATTTTTTTAGCTATTTTACATTTCTTGCATGACTGCAGTGATTTGTGTTGGTAAAACAAATCTGTTAATTGTGATTTACGATACGAACAATTACAAACTAAAATATGCGAGAAAATAAAGAGTTTCATTTTGTTTGTGCATCTTCAAAACAAGTGTGTGCTTAACATTACCAATGGACATGCTTTTATTATCTTCAATTACGATCTTCCTTGCAAAAAACCAATGTACTAATACGGTCTTTATTTCTTAATTTAAGAACACAACTTTATTGTTTTTGTTTTTTACTGCTACTATCTTACTTCTTCCTAGTCTTTAGCTAGGGTATCCTACAATGTGCTTGCAAAATCAATAGCTTTGAAGGCCTAGTCTGTCCCATTTTGGTACATGAACTGTGCAGGAAATGCAATAGATTAGATTAATGACATCATTAATTCATATAACATATCACAAATGAGGATTTGAATTGTGAGTTTCTTATGAAATGCATGGGAATTGGACACGTAATGCATTCCAATTTTTAACAAAGTAGTGGTCCAAGAATGTCAGTTAGCTTGTCAAACCATTTTTAGTTTCTTAACTCTTACTGCTTGGTTAATTTTGTTTATTACAAAAACGGTTGCGCTCTACTTAAACCACGTGATAACATGCTTGTTAATGGTTAGTAATTACCATTTACCTACAAAATTTATTGGAACATTAAAATGTAACTTCTCCAAACACTAGGTCCATAAAGTAGGTCCACACAATGCCATAATTTTGTAACGATAACTTGTAAACCATGTCCGTGGTATGCCATTTCACTGTTTACATGTATGGTTGTTCCCAACACTGACCATGGCTTCGTTTCTGTCCTCTGTCACGTCAGTGCATACATCACTCTTCTATGCCTGTGGCTTTGAGATGTGTATTGTGAAGATTTGAAGATCTTTAAGAAATCCAGGTCGTGCCTACTACCAATGCCCTCGTGCAGTGGTGAGTATTCACATGCACAAGTGTATTTACATGTTTTAGAACTACACTAATACATGTGTCTATTCAGCCATGTTGTTCTTAGATTGGCTGGTGTGACGAATATGGCCAAACATCCGTACCTAACACTCAACATTCAGTTAAAAACATGGTCTTGTATGTTGTCGTTGTAATTTTGTTGTTTAGTACTTGATTTGCTTCGGTTCGTAGGTTGTATGTATTTGCTACGTGATACTTTATTTCTTTTCCAACTTAGTAGAATGTGTAGTATGCTATTTTCTTACGATGACAATGCAATCTTCTCTTGTTTGCTCAGCTGTTATTTGCTTGTCCTTCATGTTCCCATGTTGTGAATGTGCATGTTATGTTTTACATTATTTTTTGCACATATGCCACAATTATTGCTCCGATGTTGTAGCCATATGGATCAATCCCGAACGCTATCTACGCCATCAAAAAATTTGCATGAGTGGGGTTGTAGTCAGCCTCACCCATATTCCGCATATGTGCACAAAGCAGTTTGGGACTTGGACGCAATCAGGCTATTCTTGGAACTTGTTGTGAAGGAGTTGGAATCCGGCTACAAGGGTTGTGTCCATGCGATGACAATGCACGACTACAGGGCTGTGTCCAAGGCCTTCTAGGAGCATACGGGTAGGTTCCATGAGGTGAAGCAACTCCAAAACAAGTACAACTTGTTGAAAAAGAACTGGCAGTCGTGGGCACACCTTATGGACACAAGGCACGGCCCAACTGACTTAAGTTGCAACGGAGAAATTGGGTTGATACAAGCATCAGATGAATGGTGGGCCAAATATGAGAAGATAATGTTTCCAAGTCTTGTTATTTTCTTAGAAGCACTATTCCATGTCAAATTATCTACACTTCAGGTTGAATCATGAACTATTATTATACCATAGGAAAAATGTTCATACAACTAGGGATTTTTTTAATTTTTTTTAAGAAGTTTTTAATGTTTATAAAATGTTCATTGGTACTAGTTCAAAGATGCAACATGTATACTCTTCATTTTGATGTTGTTAGGTGTTTGGATGTAACCCAATTTTAATTTATTATATAATTATTAGTTAACAATTTCATGTAGTTGGAGATTGAGATACATAGTACCATAACTTATACATTATAAATGTTCATCGACCATGAATGTTTTACCCCTCTGTTTAGGAAACAAGATGCCACTCTATATGGGGAAATATGGTAAAGGTAGATTGACATTGCTTTGTCTAACCATGACTTGTCTAATCATCAAAGGTTTAAAAAAAAAAAAAAAGGATAGGAGCAACGAGTACTTTAAACCTGGAATTCTTAAGAAGTGAAAATGGCTTCAGCTGTAGGTATAAAACCTTATTGTTAATTTCGCAGAAGCTGTGATGAGCCCATCAATAATATAAAGTCTTAGAATCTAGTTTATTGAATTGAGATTTTAGTACTCGTGGGATATTTTCCAAACTAGAAAGCTCTTATTTCTAAACAACTGCACTTTATTTGTATAATATTTACTGAACTCCTTTGACTTTGGGAGATATATATATCGCAACATGGTCCCTAGATTTTATTTATTTGTTTGTTTGTTTAATTGGTGATGTTCTTGTAATTTTTTTGTTAATTCCAGAGTATAGTGATTCAAATGATTCTATAGCAACCTGTTTGCCCTAATTTCACCAATTTAACATCTACTATTGCTTAACGGTATTTGTACTTTATGTATGGTGAACCTGCAATCAGAAACAACTATTACTTTCATATTGATGCTTCGAAGTTTGACAACAAAATATTGGTTGCCTTCACTAACCAAATTTAGAGACCATAATAGTGCTCATTGGGCATTGTTTTCTTTTACCATAATAATATGAAATAAAAAAAAGTAACATTTTGTTCTTAAAGAAGAAAATAAACTGGAGCTGTTTTACGCAACATTTTCAAGTCTGAACTTGACTAGGCAATTGGATCAAAATCATTGTTTGGTTAGCCTTTTCAATAAAAGGCCTTAAGGTCTGATATTGGCAACATCAAAGTTTTCGGCATGCAGTTTGAAGTGTTCATTTTTTCTTGTTTATAGAATATTTGTAATTCCATCCGTAAGGGGACCAGAGCATGCTATAGTGACAAATATCTTCTTTGTAGATGCAATTCAAAACTATCAGATCAAAAGCTCAGTGTGCAATTTGAATGAAATAGATTTTGAAATTCAAATTAGTGTTACATGAGTTTCAAACTTGAATTTAGATTATTATTGGTATTTGATTAGTGACATTATTATTTGGTGCTAAAAACTGTTAGGTGAGCCAATAGTTGGATCTTTCAACTCTTTCTTCCTCCGTCATGGTTAGTCTTTAGACAAGGGCTATTTCTTACACTTGTATATGCTTGTTGTTAAGGGATATAAATTATTTGTTTTGAATCCAGCCAATAAGTTGGCTTACATAGTGGATAAACTTGTTCAACTCTGTCTACTAACTACAATGTAACAATATATGATATATCCATTAATATTTTCCCCCTCTAGTATTATTAATACTTCCATGTGTGTATTTGTTTTTTTTTTTCTTCAGATTGACAAGAATGTTGTCAAGTTCAAAATGAAGTCATTGGAGCACGTGGAACTTATGCGAAGAGTGTACGAAGGTGCCACGGCAACAAGGAAATTTTGCATGGACACCCGACGTTGATTTCGACTCGATCCCAATAGATGACGTGTCTTCCCCTATGGATGAAGAAGATTACGCAGACAACAGTGGGCCGCCACCTTTCCAACCTGCCGCCAACAGTGTGGACATAGTTGAAGACTATGACGCGTCAGTGGAATAGACTCCTATGGCTGGACTGACGAAACAAAAATTCGGAGGCACCAATCAGGGGCAGCGAAAAAAAGAGTAGAGCGAGAGAGCTTCAAAGTTAGCGAGTAGCATGGAAAACCTTGTGTTGTCAGTGAAATCACAATAACGTGAGGTCCGAGTGCATCATAATTACGGAAATTCGACGTAGGAGGTGATTGGCAAGTGCCTGGAAAGGTTATACTTCCTGCACGGTGTTGGCCTGGAAGATCCGCTCATACCTTTCACTCTTTCACTAATGGATAACCCGGCAAATCAAGCCATATTGTTGCAGCTTCTAACGGATGATGCGGTAATTAGTGGGCTGCAAATCAAGCAGTCCCAGATTTTGGGAGGCCCATTTGACCCAACGCATGGATCCAGAATGGAGGGCTGGTGTTGAGGAGTTGTTCCATCTCATAGTTGCTGTAGTTTTAAAAAACCTCAAACAGAAATTATGCTGAATTTTTTTTTTGTTAATTCTTTTTTTTTTCCTCCCTAAATTGTTCGACGTTCACGAATATTTTCGTTTTGTTATTGGATTTCGATTAATAGTATGCATGTTTATATTTTAACTTTCCTACCAAATCATACAGAAACCATATTTCTCCATTGAAGTTGTTGACAATTTCGCCGGGAAAAAATAAATTATGTTTTACGTTTAAACAAAAGGTTAATGACACACGAAGTAAACCTATTTTGTGAAATAAATTTCAAAAACACAATCAATTTTTTTTTTTTCAAAAAAACACAACAAGTTAAAAAACTCAATTACAACTTTTTTTTCTCACTGTGTGATTAGAATGGATTGTCAAAAAACACAATCGGTTTAAAAATATAATCATTATGTGATCAAAACAGAATGTAAAAAACTACAATCACAGTTTCTATGATGACCTAATTTTTTTTTTTCAAATTAGTCGGTGCATAAATTAATTTAGCAAATTTTCCAATTTGGACTGTTGTGTAAATTCTGTGTGAAAACAGTAAGGTTTTGTTTTTTTTAAAAATAGTTTCCATTCGCAGAAAAGATTTGAAATTTTATAATTTAGTGATGAATTTTTATTTTATGAAAATTCATGGACTGATTAGTGTTCAGTTTAATTTGTAACAGAATTTGAAAATGAGTTTTGGGTGTTTGGACCATGAGTTGAGATAAATTTGTTATAACAATTTTGGTATATAATTGGACTATGTCTGACCTATGGGTGAGATTTTAATTCAAGTTCCATGACTTTGATTCAATTTTAATTATTTGTTTGTTTTTGACTCATGTGTAACTGTTTAGTCTTTTTTAATTATGTGATTGGTAGTGACTAGCTTGGGGGTTGTTATTATTTATTATATAGGATTATAATATATATGCGCAAGTTGAATTTATGGTGTGTACGATATGGTGTAATAAATTATATATTATTGTAGTGAATGAAAATGTGTATATTTCGAAGTGAACAAAATATTATATTTTGTGGTGAGAAAAATTATATCTTTTCATAATTTATGTAAAAAAAAATTGGATATATTAGTACAAAAATTAGATTGTATTATTTTGAGAATTCAAATCCTTGGCAAGGCAACCCACGTGAGGTTTCCATGTTATTGTCCTTGCCCATCTTTTGCTTCATTTTTGCTTTTTTTTTTTGGCAAAGGGCTTCTTTCCCTCACTCTCCCTATTTCTTCCCCCATTCTTGGTCACCCTTTGAGCTTCGTATAGGTAACATGGTGGATGAAGCCAGTCCTAGTAACATCTACGGAAATGTACTGTTACAGGAAGCAATCGATGAAATTGTGAGGGAAATGGTGTTAGAAACTTATCACAATTTGGTAGAAGCGTGGAACATTGCGGCAACGTATTATTACAACAATTACTACAAAGTCTCGCAAAATACATCAATCTTGTCGGGACGATTATGGATGTACGAGTTGTTTAATGGCCACCCGAGCCGGTTTCAAGATGCCGTCACTATGCCTTGAGTAGTGTTCTTGTTGTTGTGCAGCGTTTTGCACGATTTTGGAATGATAGTGCCGTAACGGGAGCATGGGGTGCCGCTCAAAGAGAAGGTAACAATTTTCATTTCTGTTTTGTAGGGAATTTTATGGAGAAATTTGCAAGAACGGTTCCAACACTCAAAGGAGACATTATCACGATATTTCCACGAGATTTTACGAGTTATGGTACCATTTACGTCAATTCATAGTAGGAGTCTTGAGTCGGATCAAGTCCAACAAGGGGGCCATCCACATTTACGGTCCAAGCGGCAGTACCACCCATTTAAGGTGACGCCGTGTAAAAATTTTTGTGCGACAAAGTCATTCATAACATATGCAATAGAACAGTTACATTTTGCAATTTGTACTTGATTAGGATTGCATTGGTGCACTGGACGGCACACACGTGATGGCCCGTGTCTCCAACGAATATACCTCTTCATACTATGGTCAGAAAGGCGTGCCAACGTAAAATATTATTGTCATTTTTTGACTTTGATTTGTGCTTCACATTTGTGTCCGCTGGTTGGGATGAGAGCACGCATGATGGCAGGGTGTTGCATTATGTCACAACCGAGCCTAAACATCGATTCCCACACCCTGCGCCAGGTAACAAATTCCCGCTTCATAATGAACTTGAAAAAATGTAAAAAAATATTCATAGAAGTGATTATAACAGAAGGTGTTTTGGTACAATAAAAACTAGATTATATCGATTTTCAAATAAGAACTACAAAAATGTAAGAGTACATGGTAACAACAAAAAAAATTAGGGGGTAAACAAGTACGAACAATACGGTAGCGTTTAGTAATGTTTACATTTTTGGTTTATGTTTACAAATATTTTATAAACGGGCTTTTATTTATTTTTAGAAAAACATAAATAATAAACGCGTTTGGTTTGAACAAAATGTTTGAAATTTTTTGAAAACATAAACTAAAAAACATGTTTGTTAAGGCCTAAATTTTTTATTTTATTTTTTATTTTTGACAATGGGATCATACACACTGTAATACGCATCCATAATAACTATATTGATACAATACCAACCATAGATAAATTTAATAACCATATTAGTGTAATGTTCATAACAACTTACAAACCATAATAATATCATCTCAATTCTTCCACAAACCATAAAAAAACATCTTCCACAATCTATTATACGTATAAAAAATATTTCAATTGTTTCTAACAGATTCCCAAATTTGACTAGCAATTTGATTCCTTACATCAGGCATATGACGTAGTTGAGGTTGACTAATGTCTACGTCAATTGGTTGCTGAGAACTACTTCTTGCATGTGTCGAGCTACTACTACCACCTCCACTAGGCCCAGCATCTTCAACGATACGATCTGGGTTGGCCCATTCAGTGAACAATGTGTCACCTTGAGAATGTATCCTTATCTAGTTGCGTATTGTACAACATGGAATGGAGGGTGTATCTCTGCGTCTTAGTTGAATACGGAGGCATGTCTCTCAAAATTGAAAAACGAGCCTTCAAGACACCTAAGCATCACTTAATCACATTGCGCAGTGAGGAGTGTCGGTAATTGAACATTTTCTTCTTGTTTCTTGGTTGTCGACGTTGAGTACGAAATTCATTTAGATGGTACCTCTCACCATGGTATGGCGATAAAAAGCCAAGCACATTTGTATAACCCGAGTCGACAACATAGTATTTATCTGTTCAACATATATGTATCTATTATTATGGGTTAGCAAAAGAATATTCATTATAAATTAACAAAATGCCATAAAATACGTACCTGTTGATGGCATTAGAAATAAATTTGCTGGATCATGTACGTTTTCAATGAACACTTTTGAATCATCTGCAGTGCCCTTCCAACTAGCCAATACATACGTAAATCGCACATCAAATGAGCAAAGACACATTACATTTTGCGTTGTAACAGTATGCTTACCCCGATATGGTATTTGCTCTGATGCTGGCACCCTTGCAGATATGTGGGTACCATCAATTGCTCCAACACAATCCTATTTGACAAATGACTTTAATAATGCATGATATTTTACTAAAATTTATACTTCAAATATTCTGTTAGTGATTACCTTAAAAAAAGGGTAGAAGCGTGGATTATGTCGAATTTCTGCAAGCACCTCATCAAAATCTAGAGGCCTTATAACTTGTTTACCAAGCCTACACACTGCCTTCAAGACTCGGTTGAAGTATTTGGAGATGGTCTGGCCAAAATGTTGGAATCGCTCTTGGACAACACGATTCCGTTCGTTCTGACCAATTGTTAGCAAAAATATACAAACTTGTCCTGGGGCAGTTAGATAACGTGAGTGTTCTAGTTTACCATATACCTTAAGTGCCTCGCACAAATTAATAAATACATCTGGTTCCATTCTAAAATTTTCCTTAGACCTTCTTTCATGGCCATTCAATATTTCTAATACGTAGTCATGTCCTTGTAATATGGACATTCAGCATGGTCTAGGTTGAAGGTAAGTATTACAATACTCATGTAGTGCTACACACACCAGAAATTGTATATTTTCATCGTCACTGTCTGAGTCAAAACTCAAATCAAGAGCATGCATTGGCTCCATATATATCACTGTGATATAGTGCTGACCCCTTAAAAACAAAAGTATTAGTGATAATGAAAATACATGAAATAATGGTCACACAAGAATTTTTTCTTTCATTGAATTTTTTCAGTTTGGTAACCATTTTGTTTGGTCCAATTCAAATGTTGGCTCCATATACATTGAATTTTTTCTTTCACTTGACAAATTTCTCCGAGGACATTGTGTGGTCCAACTCAAATGTTGGTGAGGATGAAACAAACCAATTAACTTGAAAATTGTAGAAGCCATGTAATCCCAAATTTGCTATCACATTCATTAGCATTTTAATAAATATACCTTTGGACTTTTAAAAAAACAATGTCGACAATGCAGTGATATAAATATTTTTTTTATAGGAGAAGATCATACATATCTTTGGACTCTTTAAAAAACAAATGTAAATATGGTCATACATACCTTTTCCAATTGTTGACAATGCAGAAGCTTTGTTGGACTATTGATAAAAAATACTTGGAATGACTACCAACAAGCATTATATAGGAGAAGATCATTGAATATAACAATAGCATTCAAGTTGGGTTGTTTATGTTCAATACTTCAACTACCCATAAACTCTCATTGTAATAGCATTCAAGATAATTGAATATAGTTGTGGCATTCATTTAATATAGTAGTAGCATTCAAGTGCATTGCCAATAATTTTATATCTACCCATCAACTGACAATGTAATAGCATTCAAGATAATTGAATATAGCTATGGCATTCATTGAATATAGCTGTAGCATTCAAGTGCATTGTCAACAATTTTATATCTACCATCAAGAGCAATGTAATAGCATTCCAGTACAATATTAAAAACATGCTGCATACACCCAACTCTGTTTCCATAATAAATAATTCTGAAACAAATAAAATAAAATAAAAAGTACAATATACTACCAAATATAAAGTACATGCTGCATACACCCAACTCTGTTTCCATAATAACTCTATTTCCACAATACACTACCAAATATTATCCAACAGTTTTGAAAACATGAAAACATCCATACGAACTAACATTTTTTAACTATCAAATATTATCCAACATTACTAATAAATTAAACAACACAAACACATACCACACCACACTAAGCTTGAACTCTCTGAGAATAACTTTCAAAGATTAAGGACCCAATCCCTCATCCTACTAGCAGGCATATCAACAAATACCTCCCTTATTATGGGATCCGATGCAAGCTTGTTCACAGCTTTAGTGAAAGCAGGAGCAGGAATTTCCTCCATACCATGCAATAGTGCCATGCTCTCTTTCAGTAGTAAATGTGAAGCAGTAGAACCACCTTCAATTGAACCACTGTCATCGCCAACATTAGTAACTGAAGCACTTGTCAATCACTTTTTATTTCTTTGAGTGCTTCAGAAATATTAGGTTGAAAAGAGCTCCTCTTCTTACTCTTTTTACCTATCATTTTGCTCTTGCCCTTGTTCTTGCCTTGGCCATCTTCATTGTCATTATCACTATCAATTTGCAATGCATTTAAGTCCTCATTCTTTACCTTAAATTCATGATCAGAGCTAGCACTACTTTCAGAAGGTGATTTGGTGAAAGGGTGAGCTAGTTTACCAGTTACGGATGTGTCTCCTAAAATATGAGACCATTCATGGTAGTAAACCATCATTTTCTTCCTGAACCTCTTTACATGGCTATTAACCTACAAACCAATGAATTTCAGGTTAACATGAAGAATTCCCCAATCAAATGTAGCAAACAAAATGCAAAAAGTTAATTAAACCTTGTAAAGGGCTTCCCAAACGTCATCTGGTGCAGTGATAGTAAACCGCTGGCTATCCCAACCAACACCAGTATGCTTCAGTAATCCTGTAAATTGGTTGAACATAATATGCAGTTGATTGTATTTGTTCCGAAGCTGGTGTGCGTTATACTGGTATTGGGTTTTTGCATTCATTTGATCTCTCAACCTGTTCCAAGCTTGTTTAGTGAATGTCCCAGTTATTTTACTACTCTTGGTTTTCACCTCCTCATCCATGAGGGTAATGAAAAGAGCCTCAATTGCCTGAGGCCATGGACCACTGTTTCGTCTACCAACTTCAACAACATCATCATCATCAATGGAGAGATCATTGTGTACTGTTGTTGCCATTGCCTAAAGATGTATATTTATTCATAGATAAATATTTTTCAAAAAAATGTAAGTCAAATAAAATGAAGAGGCATTGAAGAACAAGCACCAGTTACTTAAAGAGGCCTAAATATGTATATTTATTCATAGATAAAATGAAGAAGATCACATCACCATAAATTGAAGAGGCCTAAATATTTATTCAAAAAAAATGAAGAGACCTAAATATGTATATTTATTCATCGATAAATTCAAACAAGAGGCATTGAAGAACAAGCACCAGGCAACAATATAGAGGCCTAACAGTTATAATATCATTAAACAAGAGGCATTGAAGAGGCATTGAAGAACAAGAGGCCTAACAGTTATAATATCATTACAATGAAGAATATCATTAACATATCATTAAAATGAGCTTCAGGAAACAATATCTTTTAAATCCTTATCATGTACTCCAAATTTAAAATGAAGAACAAAATCTGCAGATTAACATATCTTTTAAATCCAAATTAGTAAAAAGGCAACAATATCATTAAAATGAAGAAGATCAGCAGATTTAAAATGAAAAATAACAGATATATGTTCTTAAAAAAAATGTAGCACAGATCTACAAACAACCATGGCAGAACAGATTTGTGGTTCAGAAATTTTACAGAACAGATTTGCAGAATAGAGAAAAAGAGACTGACCTGAGACTGAGATCAATGTGGTTCGAAAATTTTGCAAAAGATCTGCAGAATAGATTTGTTGTTTTAGAAAAAAAAAAAAAAAAAACCACCATGGCAGCTTGGTGAAACACAGAGAAAATAAAAAAGAGATAGGAGAGAGGGAGAGAGAGATAGAGAGCAAGAGAGAGAGAGAAAAGAGAGACCTGAGATCAATTTGTTGACAGATCTACAAAGATCTGCATGTTTGCAATATAATGTTTTCGAAAAGAAAAAAAAAATTTGAAGGTCGGTGAACATAGAGAACAAGCTTAGTGAACACAGAGAAGAGAGGGGAGACAGAGAGAGAAGAGAGGGGGGAGAGAGAGAAAAGAGAAAGGAGAGAGAGAGAGAGAGAGAGAGAGACAAGAGAGACACCGATCTGATTTCTGAAGTTTCAGTCAACATAAATGGAGTAGAGGAAAATGAGATACAACTTTTATTTTACCGTTGGGAGAAAATAAATTCAATTCGGGTGCTCTGAAGATTTGAACCAGGGTCATAATGCTGATAACTACAATGCCAAATTTATAAACCAATGAAAACACCTTTTTTCAGTTTACATTTTTTGGGTCAAATTTTTAAACTGAGAACTAGTATTATAAATCAAAAATTTACCAAACAAGTTTTTAGCACAATTTTTAAAATTTCTGTAAATATAAACTGAAAACTGAAAACAAAATAGTTACCAAAAAAACCCTACATGTTTTTTTTTTGGTCTCACATACGATTTAAAGTTCGAAATTGCCAAAGAATCTCATCATTAAACTAATAGAATATTTTTGTGGTTTGAAGGGTTACTATCATTTTTTTTAATTCAATTATGAGCATAAGTTAGTAAACAAGAGTTCATTTGTCATATATGAAGGCCAAAAGTATAAACGAAAGTAAAAAAGTCGTTATGCGATTTTAATAAAATACCATTTGATATTAATAAGTTATATTGTTCGACATATACAAGAAAATACTACTTGGTCGATAGCGAGTACAGCAACACGACATGATATCTAGCCTTGTACTAGGGGTATCGATATCACCAAAATGCCCATCGCAACCGAATACCACAGAACGAGTACGAACTATTCAATAAGGCACATTCGTCCTTGCGTAGTTGTATCGAGCGAACATTCAGTGTTTAGAAGTCGAGATGCGGGGCTTTACGAAACATGCCGAAGATAAAAATTTTCGATCAAGTGCCCTTCGTATGTGCGTCGATGGCTTTACATAACTTCATACGCCGGAACAGTCAATTTGACGCGATCACACAGAATATCCTAGACAACGACGAGTACATTGTGCTGCGAATGCCCGACCACCCAGAATACACCCAAGTTGCTGATATCATGGAGCCAGGGAACTCAAATCCCCATACAGCAACTGTAAGAACGAATATTACATACGCACTGCAACAGCAACTGCATGGTTAAGGGCGACACATTTGTTGCTGTGACGGGTGTTATATTCGCTATATGTTGTGTAACACTGATGTATGTTGTGTGATACTGATGTATGTTGTTGAAACAAATTGTATCATTATATCATTAATTAGAAAGAAATAATTTGTTGTACCAAATTCGCAATAATCAAAAATAATATTGTAATAATCAACAAAATTTAATTTCGTACGCACTTTAGATTTAATACATTGTAATTGTATTTTAAAATTTCTTACATAATAAAAAAAAAAGAGAGAATATTTGCACAAGCTCACGGGTGAAAAGATAAAGTAAAAGCAAAATTTGTAGCCAAAAAGTGAATTGAACAAGCACAAGTTAAAGTACACCATTTTGTTTTGTTTTTGTTTTTGTTTTTGTTTTTTTTTTTTCAATCATCAACAGAACAACACATGTGAACAGAAAAAAGGTTTTTTTTCTTTAAAAAAATTATATATATCTCCTCGCGTATCCCTACCTAACCACGTAATGAAAAAGCAAACCGTACTAACTTTCACGTTGGCGACGGTAAGCAAGCATAGGGTTATTATGTTAATTTTGGTATTTATTATAATATTATAATGTATATTTTTTCATAAAAAATTAAAAAATTATTCAAAATAATCATTTTTTTTTCTATTTTTTTAGTCAAAAAATCAAAAAATATATTTATATAGATCATCCCAAATAATCCATAAATAAAACGTGAGGCTTGGTTTGACAACACGTTAAAAAAAATTCACCATATTTGTTTTTAGTTTTTTGAAAATACTTTTTAGAAAATTCTACTTTCTTATTTTTTATATTTTTTTTTATTTTACTAAATTTTAAAAATATTTTTAGCCAATTTTTTAATTTTTAGACACACCTAACATAGATACACTTAAAAAACATAATTTTCATGAAAAAAATCTTTAAAAAATTCACTGAACATCAAAAATACAAAAAAAATACAAAAATTCAGTATATTTTTCGTATTTATTAATTTTTTAAAATATTTTTTTACAAATATTTTACTTTTTAGATACATCTAAGTAAAGTGCATTTAAAAAAATAAAAAAAATGTTTAAAATTTAAAAATATTCACTAAAAACAAAAAAAAAACGAAAAACAAAAAACTCAATTTTCAAAAAACTGAATTCAGAAAACTAAAACCAAACACACTAAGTTTTTTATTTTTATTTTTTTGTGATTTCTTTTTTTTTTTGAAAAATTTTATTTTGTCAATAGGTCTTGTGTATAAGAATTTAAAAATTAAAAAATCTTAAATAGGTTCATTGAAGAAGAAAAAAATCAAAACAAATTTGACTTTTTGAATTTTTTTTTTTAGTCTTTGATGATTTTTTAAAAAAATTTATTTTCATTTTTACTTTTCTAATTCCTATTGGAGTACGTCTTATGTTACTTTAGAAATTTTTTAATTTTTTAATAAAAAAATATATAAAAAATAAAAAGAATAATATGATAATTTATAATAATATTTTAATTTTTTTATTAAAATATATAATTGATAAATAAGACCTAAGAGCTGAAGCATAAAACTTATAAAAAAAAAAAAAATCATTAAAAAAAACAACAGAAAACTAACGATAAAGCCAATCTCAAACATTAAGGAGTCCTAAGCATACACATTTCCCAATAACAAAAATTAACTTGGATAGCCTTTCATTAAATTAACAAAGTCGGATTCATACTCTTGAAAGATAATGCTTATCCTTCAAACCCCCCTCACTGCTTAAACCAAGTGAGATGGTTTTTACCATGGCCGAACTCCAATATGACCGAAGTAATCATGATCATGCCGAGCCACAGAGTAGACCGAACTATTGTTAGTTCGGTTCTACCTTTAATGTTCTTACCCCAGTTCCTCCTGTGTCAACAGTGTTAAGTCTAAACCGATCTAACTTCTAGCAAGGCTTTTAGACCAAACTAACCATACTGCGCCTTAACCGATATAAGATTTAGTATGGTGACCGGACTAACCTCTTTGGGACCGGAGTAACTTTAACGGCTTTTTTACTCATCCCTTCGCCCTAAGGCCCACAACGGCCTATTTACATAGCTCAGCCCAATTTCCATATAAATTACCCTCTCAATTGCCCCTTAATTCCATCTGCATAGCATGATAGGGATTACTTGTTTAACCAGCCGGGCTAAGGTTTTTAAGCCTTTTCAGCTGAGCTTAAAACCCTTTAGCTTTTCCAACCGAGCTCAAGCCCTTTAGCTTTTCCAGCCGAGCTAAAATCTTTTAGCCTATCCAGCCAAGCTCATTCTACACCGGGCTCTGCTTGTCCGGTCAAAACGTCTTTTCAATCACAGCAACTGAATCGTTTCTCCTTCTCATGACACGTGGCACGCCCTTATTGGCCTATTGCAGCTGTTACGCCGCCTTCGTACTTCACATAATTTGAACAGTTCCCGTCTTTTGCCCTTTCTTTTTCCACAAAACAACCCTTTGTTTCTGAATCACTTACACCATTCACTCTTTCTTCTCTCCTTTTGCCTCCATTGTTCTCCACCCTTTGCAACTGTGAAGCTCGTGCTCGCTTATATTTTCTACTTCCATTTCCTTCTCTTTACCTGGTAAGTTTTTCAAACCTGTTTTGCTTTTGTGGTTTTTGCATTTGCTTTCTTTCATTCTTGGCACACTGTTTCTGTTTTTGCAAAACATATTCTCTTGCTCTATCTTGCGTTTTCTATTCTAGGAAAAAACTTCATAAGAATCCCATAAACTTCATGAAGCTGTCTGTAGAACACTTAGTTTGATTCACAATTACCATATAACCGAACTAAAAAGTAATTTGTAGTCAATGTCACTCTATCAGACTACTTAACCGAACTAGCACTCCATGTTGGTACCAGTAGTTTCAATAAGTCAAACCAC